GAGCTCACAGTACGGGGTTGCTTTCCGCGGGTCGTCATCGATGAAAGCAGAAACTGACCCAACGTTTACCCTTCCTGAATAGCCTATTTTCTTCTAAGTCGGTTGTATTTTTTACCGTTATTAAAACCCGTCCGTACTTGTTTTGGGTGACATTAATGCACCTTTCTATGGCACCAAATTCACCAATTATATTTGTCATCATGTTTCCTTTCATTCTACAGTAGTCAAGAATCTCAGATTAAAGACATTATGCTTTAGAAATACTATGCAACTGCCTCCTCTTCGCTCTCTGAAAGTGTCTAGGACCAACATTGAGGAAATATGGCACCCGTTGCTAACCTGCCTGACATAAAATAATATGTTTTCAATGATTACGACAAAATCGTTTTTTTTGCGTTCTGTCAACACGCTTTCATACAGTTTCATGGTATGGATCAACAGCTTAATACTTCAGATTTTTCATGTCAGTGTTGTCTCTACCCTATATATGCGTGATAATAACTGTTGTTCAATATAAAAATTAGAAATAAATTAAATGCAAATTTCTGCTAAGATCGAAAATACAAACAACAACATTCCATGGGCTATGATCTAAAAATTTTCTCTCCTCCAGATTCGGACTGATGCTTTTGCACCTCTTCTCAAAAAAGGTTGTCTGGAAATGCTGGAAATCAATATCTATGTGGGTAAACATCAACAGCCTCGAAAAAGTCACGCAGATTCCAGAGATCAGAGTGCAGTTCGCGTGATGAAAATACAATTCATAATGGCAGGACACCCAGCTTTACGACCTAGGAACTGTGACAGTGAGAAAAGCTCGCTGTAAGAAGCTAAACTGTTGGATGTTGACAGACGTCAAAACTCAGATATTCTGAATTCGTCTCATATCTAGCAGCGGGAAACGCTTAGGATACGACATCGATGAAGCAGACTAGCTAGAGACATCTAAAGCAGTGGAGTCACTGCCAGCAAACGGACGACAAGATGCTGGTCAAAATGTCCTTAATTATATTATCAAAAGAAGAAAATCTGAGTTGCCCTCTGACAAGATAGCCAGATATCATCAAGAAAGATATTGAAAAAATGTTAAATCAGAAAATATTCATATTGAGTGGATCAACAGCAAGAAAGTGTGAAACCCGCGTACACCTATAGGCGCTGATCACAATACGATGAGACTATTTGAAGAAGAAGGAGAAACAGAAACACGTGAGAAAGACATGGAAAGAAAGATGAAAAGATGAAAGATGGAATGTAAAACGAGGAAAAATGGACAAAAAGAGAAAAAGAAGGAAGGGAAATAAAAGAAGATAGAAAAAGATGAAGGGCAAGAAGAGGGAAAAGAAGAAAAACAAAATGCAACAAATAAAAGAAGAGGAAGTCCTCTTGTCAACCAATGACCTAATGATCTTTGAACCTGCAACGTGTCAGTCGGGTACTGACTGCGTAACAAATGCAACTTGTTTGTGCATATTTTAGGAGCTGTCGTCGAACAAAAGGAGTCATTACCGCTTATGAAAGTGTCTGCTATGAGACCGCGATTTAACTAAGTTTACCATTATTCCAGCAAAAACCTTCGCAGCTGACTTAATCAGTCCATTTAAATCAGCAAAGGACGAATTAAATTTTAAAGCGAGCTGAACTGCATTCTAAGGAATTATGTAGAACTCGCCGCGTGGCACGAATCTCATGAATAATGTTTAGGTACTGGTAGTCAATCACTACGAAAGACAGGAGAACAGCAGCGCCGGTCAATACAATTTGGGAGGACACAAATAAGCGGACATGGGATTTGCAAACCAGCGACACAATGCCATAAAGTAATCAATGAGCGATCGTCCTGACACATGTCGCAAGCCGATGTT